AAAAGGACTTCGGGCTGATCTAGAAGCATCTCGGAAAGAACAAGCTGAGCTTGCCGAGCAGGTAAAAAGAATCTTTGAATTTAATGATATTGACTCGGGAGTGATGGCTAACAGTTCGGTCCCGCAGGTCGAGCAAAAGTTCAATGTGATTAGGCAGCTTCGTGTTGAAGTGGACGTAGTGAAATCCGAGGCCGAGGAATGGAAAAAGAACATGGACCGCCTCGCCTCAGAAAAGGAGACTGCCCGAACTCAACTGGCTTTGGCTGAGGCCCAACTCCGAAGCTTGAAAGAGAAAGCCTTGGTGCAAGCCAAGAAAATCGAGGAGTTCCAGTCTCGGTTGAGCTCAGCAAATTCTGATCGAGAGAGACTGGCCACAAAACTTGCAGTGGCCAAATCGGAGGTCGAGAAAACCATGGCCAATGCTGATGCAATGGTGGCCGTTTATCGATCTGATGCGAAAGCTGCTCAGGTTCGAGCAAAGGAGGTTACCGAGGCTGCTCAGGCTCAAGAAAACTGGGTTGCCGAGCATGCTAAATGCCAGTCTCGAAGGGAGACTCTCGAAGAGATCCGTGCTCGTGGCTTCGATCTTATAGCCGAGATCGAGAAAGCTAAGGAGCTTGAAGCCGAAACCAGAGGGTTGGCCTTTCCTGATGATGATGATACCGGGAGTACGAGCGGATCCTTAGCCCCACGGTGGGAGCCAAGCTGTTTACCCGAAAAAGGGATAGATTTGAATTTATACGTAGTTCTAAGGATACGTGGTATAACTCGGCACAAATTAAAAAAATAAGTAGGGATATATTGAATATTGACTGTAAAAAGGAATGAATACAAACCCTAATTGAGTAGAGAATGATTGATAAATGAACAAGATGAATCAATATCAAAAGCCCAGAAAAGGATAATATTTGCTAGATGTTATGTAAATCTCAATAATCTCTGAATGTGAGAATATGTGAATGTATATCAACCTGCCCTTTACAAATGTTAGTCACTCCTAATATAGTGGAGGAATCCTACTTTGGATATAATTAAAAATATATAGTGGGGATCCCGTGATAGATTAATAAATTGGCTTTTCCTTGATTCAAGCCGTGATTTCAGCCGAGATTCTCTCCCCAAATGCGGCTATAACGGCTTTGTTGTTCCTTGGCTCGGTCTCGATCTTGGTCGGTCTCTGGATCTCTAGCTCGACCTTGACTCGATCTCGGTATTTGATCGGTCTCTGGGTCTCGAGTTCGACCTTGACTCGATCTCGGTACTGATCGGTCTCTGGGTCTCAAGTTCGACCTTCCAACTTCACATCACAACTCGATATTTTAATGACGAACCTCGGTCCATCATGCTCCAATCTTGATTAGTCGCACGAAGGGCAAACTCAGTTTTGACCGTATACATTACCTAAGCCANGTCCATCATGCTCCAATCTTGATTAGTCGCACGAAGGGCAAACTCAGTTTTGACCTTATACATTACCTAAGCTGAAATCATCCAATTCATGTGGTTTACGGTTAATTTATCATTATTTATTTCAATTGCAATCTAATTTATCGCTTTGTATCAAGTTAATCCGCATATCCTTTCAACCACTAACAAATTCAATTGTTATCCGATTTTGAGGGTAAATACATATTAAAAAAAGCATAGTATAACACTTTTTATGACCAAGCAAAAGGTTAGTATAATATCCTAATGTCCATATTCTCGTAAGAGAAATTTTCTCTGCCCTCTTCTGTATATTTTCATGATTTTATTATCAGAAAAGTACATTGAAATTGAAAATAACTATTTGCAAAAAAACATGATTAAAGAAAATCTTATTTGGAAGCTAGAAAATAAAGGGTAATAAGATCACACATAAAGAAGAAGAAACTAATATATATATATTTATATATATATATATATGAAAAAACTAAAACAAAAAACTAATTACGAGATATCAATCATCTTAATTGAAAAAGAAAAATCTTTCTAATTCTCATAATTATATAAAGAACAAAATACGTAAGTCATCTCTCAACTGACTGTTAAAATTAATTTATGAGGAGGCTATCCTGGACTGAAAATTCTCAAGCAAATGAGAGGTTGACTCACAGGAAAGCCGTTCATAGGACTCACATCGTGTTTATAATGGAAGCTTAATTTTTAATGGATTTCTCTTGAATTTGTGGGAATGAAATCGTAGACGTGTATAGCTAAGGGTCCAACTTTTTTGTCTTGTTGGTGATAATACAATATACCCATTAATAACATTAATATTAATATATATTAATAAACATCAATTGTGGGAAGGGGAAGAAAATCAAAATATTAAGACATTATAGTGGAAAAATTTATGGAAGTGATTCGCGCATGATTGTCACGGGGAAAAAATAGGAATTTTTTCTAAATCCTGATTTACCTTTATCCCAAAGTCCATTACTCCTTAAATATATGTTCAGAACTATAAGCACATATCCGTCGATTTAATATAATGTTATTTCTTCTTTACTCTATCAAATTAAAAAGAACACATTCTGTACACCACCACCAAAATCTATCAAGAAAGTCTTCCTACACGCCAGAAGATTCAAAATATTATTTAACAAAAAAAATCACTACATACTATCTTTGGTGCACGAATTGGCATTTCATATATGAGCCTTTTTGTCTTTAATATAGGCTGTTTCTTCTGCATTAACAATGAGAAAGTTTCACTAATAATTATGAATACCCCTAAATAACGTTACTGTCTTAGATTAGATAAAAAGCATCTATTTTTCAAGGATAGAAGGAAAATGATGTGCAGGCAACAAATTTCATTCCAAGAACGTTTTATTTTAAAAATCTTCACTAACCAGGTTATTCTACCTAATTGTACTTTATTGAAGGAAGATTTTCAAAGAGGAAAAAAAAAAAGGAAGATTCTCCAACGCCATGAGGTTTCTTGCGATTAACTAAAAAATCGACCGAAATAACGAACCTTGGCACATCTGAATATTATCATATTTCTTGCACAGATCAAAGACTCTCCTGGTGTATTTGGTACGAAGGAAAATATTTTTTAATTTTTTCATGTTTGGTTGGTTTATATGTTTTGGAAAACAATTTACTCATGAACTCATAATCCTCCANACTCCCGCCCCTACCTAAAGAGAAATATTATTAATAGTACTTTCTTTTCATGTTATAAATAGAGTATTTTTTTTATTTCAACAAACGAGTATTTTTTTTTCACGATATAAAAAGTTTTTTTTTTTTCATGATGTAGAAAAAGTATTTTCTTTCATTTCAATAAAATGAGTACTTTATTTTTATGTCGTTGTAGAAATAGTACTTTTTTTCAACCAAAAAAATAGTTTTTTTTTTAATAGTTATGAAGCATAAATTTTAATGTTGTTTTTGCGTAAAAGAAAATAAAGCACACTACTAAAAAATTACGTTTTTCCGACCGAAAATTTCCGACGGAACACTGTTGTCGGAAATTTCCGACCGAAACGGTCAGAAAATTAAAAACAATTAGTTACATTTTTATTATATAACTTCGACTATGTTTCCGACAAAAGTGGTCGCACAGCTTGGCGTACAAAATTGAGTTGCTTCATTTTGCTTTTTGAGTCGGAGGCAATTATCTTTTACCATATACGTTCATAGGCTGAAAAGTTACATCTCTTCGAGTGTTCCTTATCTTTCTTTCTAAATGTATTATAGTTCTTTCACATGAAAAATGTTACAATTTGACAATATATTTTCTCGAAACAGTTTGATTGGTAGTAATATTGAGACGAAGAAACGGAGTTCATGTCGGAAATTTTCTGACCGATCGCAAATTTTTTGCGATCATGTGTTTTCTGATCGATCTTTTTCGGTCGAAAAATACTTCGAAAAATGCGATTTTCGACCGATTTGACGGTCCGAAATTAGCCTTTTTCTAGTAGTGGCAACACGTTAGTTCCTTTGGGTTTGTGTGAATTTTAAAAAGAATAATTAAATTTTTGAAAAAAATAAAGTCATGAAAATATTAGGTATTTTTTTTTGGGGGTAGGGGCACAGGAAACATAGGACTTTGGGGAAGGGGAGTGAGGAGAGTAGCATAAATTTTTTTTTTTCTAAAATATATTTTATACTCTCTAATCAAACACTAAAAAATATTTTGCGGAAAAAGAATTTCACTCACCAACCAAACAAGAGAAAATAAGTGATAAAACCACTCATTTTTTATGATTTTCTAATATTTTTCATGGAAAACATTTTCGTTCGTACCAAACACACCCTCAGTCTCTCTCTCATCCTCCCTTTCGGCAGTTTAAGAGTATTTTAATAGTATAAAATTACTCAGTCTTTGATTGTATTTATTACAAAAATGCTTTGCCCCTTATTAAAATGGAAGAAGAAATCGTTATGCTTCTAAAATAAGTGGGCATGCCTTTTGAATGAAACATTTAGCTCAGTAATTCAGTTAATGGGTGTGCCTTTTGAATGAAAGGCTTGGCTCAGTTAATGAGCGTATTTTTTCAATCAAATATTTGGTTTAAATGATTAAAAAAAAAAGAAGAGGAAACACCTCCCAAAAAAAAGAGAAAAAAAAATAGATGAAATTTCTAGCTTTCGAGAGATGCCACGTCAACTTTTTCATTCCCTGNGATGCCACATCAACTTTTTCATTCCCTAAATTATATATATATAGAGAGAAATTAATGTAATGCCTACTTTAATTTTTTCCTCCACCAATCAATTAGACGTGTTAAACTTCAATTATTCTGGAATTAATCTCTTCATTCTTTGTAATCTGGAACGTAAATCAAGCCACTTTGCAAGCAGAAACATATATTTGTATAAAGAACATGTGGGAAATATTTCAGGTGCCTAATATTCTTTTCCACGTATATATAAATTAAACGTTATTTTTGTAGAATGAACTTATAGGAAATGTTTCAAGCACCTAACATTCAATATTAGATCAAATGAAACTGCTAACATGAAATTGAAAATTAGTTGGCTAATGAACAAACTATGCTAAAATATTATCCCCAAGTACATTAAGAGGTTGGTGGTTTAATTTCTGGTGAAGTTGTTAGCTACTAATACCAAATGCCTTATATCTCTTAATACACAGAACAAAAACAATAAGCAAATGTCCTCTACTTCGATTAATTTAACAAGATTATCCAAAGCTCATCAGCTTGTATATATGTCAACAAATATAGCAGGTATTTTATAACAGACTAACGCAAGTTAGCTAAAGCAATGCATGTGCCTATAAATGCTCTCTGATTTCTTTGGAGTGGATATGTGTAGCAACTCAAACAAAGAAAGAGACCTCCTTCAAAAGTTGCAAAAAGAAGTACTTAATTAAAATGGCTAAATTTGGCTGTTTGGGTAATTTTCTAGTGTTGTGCATTCTACTAGGAGTATTGGGTTCTAGCCATGCTCAGTTACAGCTCAACTTTTATGCAAAGAGCTGTCCAAAAGCAGAGAAGATAATGCAAGATTATGTCCAAAAGCATATCCCAAATGCTCCATCTCTTGCAGCAGCCTTGCTCAGACTGCATTTCCACGATTGCTTTGTCAGGGTAAGTGTGTCACATATTTGCAGCTATATATTCACTTAGTGCCATTCTTGAAGTATTGTAACTTAATTTTCTCATTTTTCTTCTGAGTATTTGTAGGGTTGTGATGGTTCTGTACTTCTGAATTTCACGTCGAGCACAAAAAATCAAACGGAAAAAGTGGCTGTCCCTAATCAAACATTGAGAGGCTTCTCATTCATTGATGGTGTAAAGAAAATAGTTGAAGCTGAATGCCCTGGTGTAGTCTCTTGTGCAGATATTGTTGCATTGGTTGCTAGAGACTCTCTTGTGGTGACTGTAAGTATAAAACTT